AATTCCTTGGTGGGTGTTGAATTTCTAAACAGAATTATATATAATTGGAATGTCAGATCACTACTTTTGAATCAAGTTGGAATTAATTACAGCCATGCATAGTTAATTATCTTCTTACATCAAAGTAATAATTACTAAAAATAATGAAACATTAGTGGAGAATATATAATTATAAACTAGTTGTTTAAACATTTTTGGTTAAAAAACCTATGCGTTCAAAAATTGTATCAAGTTTGCAATAAATAAGGGAGAAGTGGCATCAATGTCATCATATTTTGCTTGAATATCAAGGGAATCATTTCACTTTTTTTTGTCTGCAAAAGGAAATTAATGTTTTTTTAGCCAATAGTTTTTCTATGTTTTCTAGCTAAGATGATAATAACAAATTAATTAGAGATGTAGCTAATTTTTCAAATGGTAAAAAAATCAAATTAATTGATTTAAGGCAATTCACTCATGTAACAACCCTTAAAATATGATATCCAATAGATTTCCAAATCAGTAACTCTTTTCCTATTTTCTAAATTGCAATCTCTTTTGTAAAATATATATAAACTTTAATTATTAATTGAAGATTAGCCGCCTAAGAAAAATTATGAAGATAGGCAAAGCTACAACATGGGTATAAGAAGTAAAAGACATGTCATTGATTAATGGGCAGATGTTGATGTTACATTAATGAAGAGTTTATAGCTTTTATGGGATTTAAGTTGTAATGTTACGCTAACAAATTGATTTCCTCGAATAAATTGCAGCCATAAATTTCCATTATCACTTTTTAATTACTTTCATTTTCAGTTATGATATATATTAATACTTTTATACTTGTTCCAATAAACTCAATTAAAATTTGAGTTTTTTAAATTAGAGGTGTCAATTTAAATCTTATATTGAAAAATATGAGATCGATAAAAGGATTATCTCTTGTTATGTTACTTTGGTTATGCTATTTTTTCTGTAACAATCAAATATTAACAGTTGACTATGAACAAAAATAAATATAATAAAATATACTAAATATTTAGTTCAGTTGATACATAATTCATCTTAAACGATATCAAATGTTCACTTTTCTAGATTAAAAGAAAAAAAAAGTAATGCATGATAATGTGACACCTAACAAGCTTTTTTTAATATGTAATTCAATAATTGCTTATTTTTTGTGAATCATTTGAACCAAACCCTCTTCTATGATCCAAAATTCATGACAAAAATCCATTATACTCTTTACATATTAAAGGAGTCTCTTCCTATCCATAAATAAGAATATCGAATCTTATGACTCAACAAGTATAATTATTAGCTTTGATGTGGTTTGTGCAAAAACAATTGGGGTTGAAATTAATAATTGAATTTCTAAGTATCATGTTCATGCATGCATGAAAACTAGAGAGTAGGCATATGCTTTCAAACAAAAATCCAATGTTGCAGCATGTGACAAAAGCTTAACTTCTTTTGCACTTGAAATTGCACATTCATGGGAAAAAAAAAGTTTCATTCCTCAGCACTTATCCTTAGTTATCCAAAAGGAACCTAAAGGAAATGATATCAAAGAAAATTCCATAACTCATCAAGGAATATATAAATTAGTTATGCCTTGCATATCTACTTTTTGTTTTTTAAATCATCAAAGGATTATGAAAATTAGATTATTAGTTTCCAATAAAGCAAAAAGATTAATTACATATGTGATACCCCAATTATATTATATTAAACTTTCCATTTAGTACTTAAAATTAAAAAAAAAAACAAACAAATAAATTACTGTGTAATCAATATGACGGTATATATAAATTATTTATGTCTTGCATATCTTCTTTCTTATTTTTTAATTTTTTAATTTTTATTTAAAAAAGAACAGCAATCTAAGATTAATATAAAACCCTTTCAAGCTATAGGCTTACATGTGTAAAACAGTTGTTTGGTAATTCAAAGTAATAAATTATTAGATCCCTCTAACTAAAACAATAAAAAAAAAAAAAAAACTCCCAAATTTTATCATTTTACTAAGATAATTTTGTTATATTTTTATTATATTTAAATAAACCTTTAATCTTTAATTTGCACTTAAATAAATCATTGATTTTAATTTATATCTAAATAAATTTTTAATTTTAATTTGTACCTAAACAAACTCTTTACATAAATTAATCTTTTGTTTGAAATAAGAGTTTATTTAAATATAAATTCAAAGATAAGAGCTTATTTGGATGTAATAAAAATATAAGAATTTATTTAGAAAAATAAAATAGTTTAAATGCTTTTTTAGTATGCTAGTGTTCCTTTTTCTTTCTTAATTTACCACCTTTTTTTGCATTTAACTATGATTTGATTCCATTGCCGATTGATCATTGGATCAATTGATATGATATTAGAGTTAATGTTGGGAGAATGTGAGTTCAAAAAACTTATATACATAATGTCCTCATTAGCCAAATAAATATAAAAGTAAAAGGTTTAAAAGTAGATTAAAAAAAAATTATGATAATGTTTTGAGTGTTTAAGAACCTTATCTTGAATTCTAATGTTTATCTAAATTCAATTATAAGTGTTGGTTTTATCAACTTTGAAATTAATGTCAAAGATATCTGTGCAACCCAACAATTTTTTAGCCTAAATTATTGGGCAAGATTAGGATATTTATTGATAAAGATATCTTCATTCCTCCAATTAGAATTGTATGAATCCACCATTTCTTAGTTAGTTAGGTTGATGAGATTAACTAAAGGAGAAAATATTGTGGCAACTAATCATTGCTATTTCCCTTCTTAATTAATGTCATTATCTAATCACAATCTCTCTATAATATAATTGTCTTAATGTTTTCTCTTTTTGGTATTATTAAAATAAATTACAATTCTATGGCATTTTTTCTTTTTTTAGTTAAGAATTGTCCGACTTGAAAATAGTTATGCTAATTATTAAAGCATTTGAAAACTAACTATACAATAATTTAATTAATAAATCTAATTTACTATTTGATATCACAAACTTTCACGTTTATCTTAATTTTAACCTAACTTAAAGAACAAATGTCAATCTTTTAAATGTGTTTATAAAATTTAAAAAAAAAAAAAATTCAACAGATGTATCATATAATAATATTTGAGTCACTATGCTAATTTTAATATGAATAAATTAACTTTTTTTATTTTAAAATCATTTAATATTATACATAAATCTTACAATTTAAAATACGATATAATGACACGATACAAACACAACATGAATATAGGATACGAAAGTAATACAATTTAAAATTTTAACAATAATTATACATAAATTTAATAAAACTAAAAAAATATATTATATATTTTTATATTGAAATGAATTATAACACGTAATTTTCGTGTAAAACAAGATATAACTATATGAATTTCAATATTATACATAACATGAATACATGAACGATCAGATCTAATTATACATGTCCAAGTTGAAAGAAATCAAAATCTAACACGTTCTCAATGGTTCTACATATATTCGGTCCTTAATTCTTCAAAGATTTGTGGAGAAGATGGATAGATTGCTGTGATATCTTCATCGCATGGCATAAAGTATCTTCAATGATTCTGCTGGACATATATTCTGTCTTTATTTCTTCAAAAGATTTGTTGAGAAGATTATAGTTAGATTGCTGTAATATCTTCACTGCATGGCATAAGGTATCTTCAATGATTCTGATAAGCTGAAAAAAAAAAATGTTCAAAAGAGTAACAAAGGCATATTTTATAGGATAATTTTTTAAAATAATTTAATTAATTAATTAATAAAGTTCAATATGAAGATTAATAATATATATAAAAATTATTAAAAATGTTATTTATAATTAAATTTTGATCGATATTTATTTGATCTATTGATTTTAATTTTCAATTCAAATTTTTGTTTGATCGTTTTTAGTAAAAAATTTCATAAATTTCACTTAAAAAACATCTTATAAATCTTTTCTTACTTTATAACATCAACTTGAGCCCAACCAACCTTATCCATTTTATCACATTGAAACAACAGCTATGATTTCATGAAATTTAAAACTTAATTTAATTAGTTTAATTATTTTTAAAAGTAGTATTCAGTAAATTTTGAGTTCAAATTTTAATATCTAAAACTCATTTTTTACAACTTTCCATATAAAAAAAATAAAAATAAAAATATATATTACTTTCAATATATTTTTTTTAAAATTAAATTTAAGTATTTTTTTTATAAAATTGTATAACAAAATAATATTATAAATGAGATCCATGTTAAATTAATAGATTTAAATAGGTGACTTGATTTTACTAAAGAACAAAAGCAAATACACCCTTTTCTCTTATTTTTTTGTACTATATTAATTTTAAATAAAAAATTAAATTAAATGAAAAAGTAAATTGTCAAACAATTGTGATTTATAGATAAAAATGTTAGGGTTTTAATAAGATTCAATTTTTTATAACTTTAAATATTATAAAAAAGGGAAAATATTAAATCGAGTAATGGAGATGTTTTGATATTCAAAAACTCAACTAGAGCAATATTTTCAATATATATATATATATAACATAGAAAAACCTTTAAAATTTTTTTTCTTTGTCTCTTTCTCTTTATTCTCTATCAAAATCCCAACAATCCAAAACACCAAAAGTCAAAGAAATACGCCAGGAAACACATGGCAAGCAAAGGTTGGATTTGAGGCAAAAGAAATATCCACTTGGGTGTTGACTGGTGCATCCTTGTGCCAAAAAACAGACACGAAAGGAATAGCTTCACATGGGTTTTTAGCCTTGGTTTTTCCTCGACTCCTGAAGACTTTCAACTCTTTCTTGGGCCTATAAATAGCTTAGACAGATTGCCAACAAACGATATCTCCTCAAATCAACATTCTTCACGTGCTCTCTCTCCCTGTAGCTTTCCCGTTCTGTTTTGCTTTGCTTTCCATTGCTGCTCTATCTGCCTTCTTTAGTCTATCTGTTTGTTTTTTTATCCACTGCAAGTCTCCTTTTTGTTTGGTTTTTTTTAGGGTCGTTTCTGTTAAGATCTATCAAAGTAGTTTTGGTCGTTGGTTGACAAAGAGAGCTTTTAAGAAAAACAAAACAAAAAAAAAGTTTTACTTTTTCTGGTATGGAAAACAAAAGGCAAGTGAGTGGTTCTTCTTCTTCTTCTTCTTCATCATCATCATCTGTTTCTTTGGATCATCTCTTTGGTCCCAAGGACTCTTCTTCTTCTTCTTCATCCACAAGTGGGATTTTTGACACCATTTTCCCTCCTCCATCAACGGTAAAAAAAAAAACCTGTTTTAGACATTTTTCTCATCAATTTGTATTCATAAATGATACAACCTTGTTGATTTTTTATGGTTTAAAATGAAAAAAAAGAAAATTCCGTTTACTCTTTAGGCAACTACGTACTTGAAAGTATATGAAATTTTGGTACTGAGAGGTAATTCTTGATTGGAAGTTAAGAAGTTGATGTATGTATAGGATAAAGATGGTTTATTGTTTAATTAGTTGGTACATTTCTTTCCAACTCATGGAATTGGCTTTGAATGATGATCAAAAGTTGATGTGATTTATATTTTTAAGTGAATGATTCTTGAAAAGATGCAGAGAGAAGCTTATATATAATACACTAAAGTCTGTTCATCAAGTGCTTGTTGTAACCTTTTTTTATGATTCACTTGGTCGGTAGATATACTAGCTAGTGGAGTATACTCATTTTTCTTTTGAATATTTTAACTTTTCTAAGTGATTTGCATCATTGATGAAAGAGAAGGGATATTGGAAGTGAAGGAGAAGAAAGAAAATGTAGGCTGATTGGTATATTCCAATAGTTGCTAGAATTAGTGCTTTTGGATTAGACTGTGCAATAGAACTTGACCCTGGTGACTGGTAACTATGCATGGCTTCTCTTTATTGTGATTATCCTTCTTTTTGTTCTAATTTTTATAGATTTTGCCGGTTGTTTTAAATGGAATTGTGCTGCAATGGTCTGAATTGTTCTCTTTCTGATTTCAGGTGCTAGGGAGGGACTCCAGTCACTCTGGAATGATGGGGTCATGGAATAATCAGGGTTTGCCCCATCATGGCAAATATGGAAATCCAGGTTTGTCATGCCTTGTTGCTTTTTGTCATTGCCTTTTGTGCTGGTTCTTAGATGAGTAGCAGGAAACCTTGAGTTCTTTTAATTTGATAAAAACAAACTATATGAAGTTGCTTTTACTGGATTCTCAAGCAACTGATGACATGAGAAAGCTGGATGAGAGAATATAATGTGAATCCTTCACATTTTTGTTTCAGATCACACCACTGATAGCAAGGGACAAAGCAGTGGCACAACTAACAAAGACAAGAGTTCGTCCGTTTATCATAATGAAACAGTGGAACCTTGCAATCTCAGCTCATCTATCTACTATGGAGGCCAAGAAAATTATTCTCCAAGGAAGAAGACCACTGAGTCTCCCCATTATGTAACTATAACACAAATTACAATATTCCTTAACAAACACTTTGTATAGGTCCTGCATCTTGCTTTCTCTACATGCTAACTACCAGGGATTTCTCTGTTCTTGGTCTTTTGTTTTGACAGTTCAAGAAGGATGGGGGAGATGATGATCCCAATGGAAACAATTCTGGTGGTGCTTCAAGAGGGAATTGGTGGCAGGGTATGAAAGCTGTGGATTTTTGTTGATAAACAAAATACTCTTCACTGTCCATAAAAATTATAGAATTGAACAATCTTTAATCAATTTATTCTTTGTTTGTACAGGCTCACTTTATTACTAACATCTTAATCCAAAATAATGCAAACTTTCCATCCCAATACTTTAAGGTATATGTTAAAAATTTCCTGATGGATCTCCTTTTTGCTTTATCTGTATATATATGCACCCTTCTGTTTTACATTTTTTTTTTCTACATTCACCACTTTGAAAATTTATTCATAGAGGATTCAACTGACAAGGAAAAGAAATCACCCCACCTTATTTGTGCTCGACTTTTATGCATATGCCTGTTACAGGCCAAACAAAAATATAGCAATAATAATAACAGTTAAAAAACACAGAAACCAATTTTCTTTTATGTTCTTGGCATAATATTTCTTCTTTTAGTCTAGCATACTTCCATATTTCTTTGATCAAGCTGCTTGAAATTATATCTGTGGACTATTTTGCAGGAACACTAGCAGCGTAATTAATCGTATTATTACTATGGAAATAAGCTGGTACATAGCTAGCAATACAGTAGAAGCATATAGAGCATAACACAGCTTAGGACTTTGAGGAAGCATGTTGACCCTGTAAGCTGTTATATTTAGGGCAGACAGCTCGGAGCATGCCGGAATCATGTATTATACGTTTATCTACTTTTCTTTTGCCTGACTAATCTAATCTTCTTGTTCTGAACTATGGTCCGTGGGATTTTTCCCACAAGAAAATGGATTACTATAACTATATATTGACATATATAGTATACCCTTCTCTCATCTTGATTTCACTTTCAAGATTGGATGCATTTTAGCATCTTATATACAATGAATGATCACAAAGAGAAGTTATATGTTGCCAACAGTCATGTGATCTGTAGTTCCGGTGACTGGATTCAAATTCTGGTTTCCATATTCTGGTTTATTTTATAGGAATCATGCAAGATAAGGGTTTCAAGAATTCCATTTATTGGGGAGAGGTTTTTGAGCTTTGAGCAGTAAGAAAATACTTGAAGTTATCGAAAGATTACTGAACACAATCTTTTATGTATCATTCACATACATCACCAGGAACAATGAATTGTGCCTTCATGCTCAAGGCAGAGTGTAATCTGCAAAATGTAAGAAGCAATTTCAAGAGATGCAAATGAAGAAGGAAAATGAGAGTCAAACTTGGTGAATCTTGTAAAAGCAGAGGAAAAATGGATAAAGAGTCTGTAAATAATACTGTAAAAATAAAATATACCTCCACATTTGTAACCCATGGGACGATCAGCAATGTTGCAGCGTTTAGGAATGGTCACAGCAACTTCTGGCTTGATTCCAGAACTCTTAGCTGTGTTAGAAAGCATAACAGCGCAGAGACATCTTGGATTCTGGCCTATTTTCCTCACCTGTTGGCAGCAACTGTCAGACACTTGAGCATTCAAATCTTGTGCTGCCATTGCACAAGGAGCCAACTTCCAGGCTTCACTGTCAGGGGTCTCCCACATTCACCAGCTCCTTCTGCTACATTGAGCTCAGCAATGCCAAAAATAGCAAGAAACACCAAAAAGCAGATGCACTTCATTTCTTCAATATTGCAATGCATAAACACTTCTCAACTTCAAAATTTATAGTAAAACCAATCAACTAAAAACGTTTTTAATGAGTAATACATATGAAACCCACAAATCGTAGTGGATGTAGCACTAGAGAAAAGTGTTTTGTTTATTGCAGCACCTACTACTCCAATGGCGGTTAGTGCCTGCTAAAGCCATTACTGCAATTCCACTACTTTATCCTGAAGGGGCAAAAAGAACCTTTTCATGAGAAGCTGACAGCATAGCATCTAACAAGTTCGACTTCTACCTACATATCCATTACCTCTCTCTCTAGAGTCAAAGGAGATCGCAATATGGGAATATTAGAATTTGAACACCAGACTTGCTGGATATTGTTTCTTATGAATGACTGCATGTACAAATTAAAACTCGGGGAATCAGATAATCAATGTTCCTTGTAAAGTCCTCCTGGCAACAATTCGTGTGAAGTTCATTGGCTTAATGAAAGAGTACCTTACAAGATAAAGAGAATAAATGAATGGTATATGTCGACAGTTCTATTGCTTTTACTCCTAGTGTTAATCCAAAATTCTAAATTCTTTCTTTTCCTAATCGGCTAACCCTCATCTCTTTTTTTATTTTTTTAATAATTTCTTCCACAGAGCTAGCTACCCAAATCTTCCTCCTCACCAATATATAGGATATCGGTCTGTTGGCATGTTGTCCTGCTTTATAAATTTCAAATACACCAGATAAACATTGCTTGTAGTTAACCACTATTTACTAGTAAAAAGCCAGTGAACTGCACCCGATTCATTTCATTATCTGAGAATTTAGTTCAATGATTGATGTATCATCACTTGATGTATCAATCGCTGTTCAATAAGCAAAGTTTGAATGTCCCTTCCCCGAATTTAAAAAAAAAAAAACCAGTGAATTCTTAGTGGACCACTTGCATGATTCACTTTCATGGCAGAACCAAGCTGGTCTACTCTATTTGTTGAATCACCAGCTCTTCTATTCTTGCAACTTGCCACTCATATCGTTTAGGATATGCGATCTTAGCTCACTTGAATATGAAACATCCTAAAAGCCTCATTAGTTCAACAACATCATATAAAAGTCAATGATATCAGTTAGATTGTTCAACTCAAGTGACCCTCTCCATTATTGATCCTATTAACAGCATAAATTGGAGAAAATGGTTATCGAGCAACAAGCAAATATTTTGCAAAGAAAACTAACCTTTTATTTAGTATTATTAAAGGAAACAACTATACTTCCATTTATTATTCAAAGATCCAACTGCAGTTTTATTTTTCACTCAAACAGCTGGATGTCACAGTGAAACTCATCAACTAGATTGACTAGCAACAAGAACAAACCATGGGAAGCACAGGACGACGAACAATGGGAGCCTTCACACTTAAAGGAGAGGGAAAGCTGCAAGAAATAAACAATAGCTTCATGAGAATGGAACTAACACTAGCAGCATTATATAAAAGCAAGGGAGAAAAGGTGTAACCAAGAACACATTATGTAATATGCGAATTCTACCTCCACACTTGTGACCGACGGGACGAACAGCAATGTTGCAACGTTTTGGAATGGTCACGGCAACTTCTGGCTTGATTCCAGCGTTGTATGCTGTATGTGCAAACATAATAGCACAGAGGCAGCTTGGATTCTTGAGCTTTTTCTCCATTACAATGCAGCAACGGTTGGAAACTGGAGCTTTCACATCTTGGGCTGCCTTTGTACAAGGTGCCAGCTTCTCAGCTTCCTTCTCAATGTTATGTTTCCCACATGGACCATAATCATCATGTCCTTCCACTCCTTTGAACCAGCAATGGTCATTATCACAAGAAACGCTAGAATACAGATGTACTTCATTGGAGCTTCCATTTCTTCAACAAGTTGTGCTGAAAGAAAGATGCTTCTCAACAATTTATGCTGAAACAAATAGCTAAAAAATATCCAAATACATGTGAATTCCACCGTTACAATGGATGTGGAACTAAAGAAAAGTCTTTTATCAGCTGCAGCACCTACTATTCCAGAACATCGATTCAGAGTTACCTGACCATCAAAGGTCAACAATTACATCTTGTTTCTCTGGAATCTCTTCCAAACGACCTTATTAAACCCATCCACAATTTAAACATTCATGGAAACCGGAATCAAGAAATGCAAGCCGACATTGATACATCTATAAACAACTAAGGTATCATTTCAAGCGGAACACACAGCATTAGCTTATAAAAACCTAGTATATTGACTACCTTACCTTCTTCTATTCTGCCTTCATAGCATGTTTGTGGGCTGATAAGCTTGTGGTTTTTGGGTCTTTATTCCTGCTACTTTCTCATCTGTAACTCATTAAAACAATGTTCTAAGACTTCAATGCCTGCAGTAACCTCAATAAGCAACTTGTTTCCCAGTTCATATGTCGGTGAAATACAAAATCTAGCAATTTGTCAAACACTACTTACTGTACTGAAACGTAGAGCTGATCTCCACCGACTTGATACCTGCACTGTCCCAACCCATTAAAATTAGATAATAAAGAAAATTTCTTCACCAGTTCTGTCAAAAACCCAAACAGATCTGGCAAACTACGAACTAAAAGTCTAACAAATATGTTCATTTCACATCTTTTATGACAACAAACCCCCCTTTTTCATCATGATCTCTCCTTAGTCGTACGGAAAGAACACAAATGCCATTCCTTGAAATTACAAAGTTAAAATTTCAATGTGATCACATCCAGTAGAACATACTGATATCCTATATTCTCATATTTCACTATAATCTCAGCTAGATTATACAACAATAACAACAACAAAATCAAAAGCCCAAGTGAAAATACAGTATCAAAACAACTTTTCATACAAGAAAAAGATCCCCAGAAGAAACCAAAAACCCAAATGAAACATCAACAACAATTCTCGAAGTTCCAATCTGTATAGCCTTGTTCCATTATAATTCTGGAATCATAAGGGTTCCACGTTAGGCCGATGAAGACGGCGAGCGTGAAGAGGGAGTTCACGTTCACAACACTGTCCAGGGCGGTTACATGGATGCTGGTTGTCATGATCGGACGATGGGGAGTTTCAGTAGAAAGATCAGACGGCGGAGATCTCTCTGTTTCCATTATGCTGAGGACGTTTTAGTTAGTTCGTTTAAGGTTGTGAAATTCACGGCCTTTTTTTGTATTTCATTTTCCCAGAAAATGCGTAGAAGAAAAGTAAAAGTTGAAGCAACAGCATTTCGGCTTTGGGAAAAAGGTACGCCGTTGCCGGGGATCGAACCCGGGTCACCCGCGTGACAGGCGGGAATACTTACCACTATACTACAACGACTTGGTTGGAAAAGCTATTCAATTATATAATATATTTAGAAACTAGCAACACCCAGAAGAACCAAGCGCAAAATTAGGAATGTTCGATCAATTGGATAAATTTCAAACCGAATTTTTCAATCAAATTTAATTTGGCCGATTTAGTTAACCAAACAATAAATATATTTAAATTAAATTGTATTTTAAACTCTTAATTTCTTATATTTTAAATAAATTAAATAAAATTATCTAATAAAATATTCAAATATTATGTTAAAAATTCTAAAATTTTATGAAATAAAATAATTTATTTTATATTTGAATTTTTTTATATTTTGATTAATTTGGTTAATTTGGTTTTCAAATCAAATTAATTGAAAATTAAATTTTATCTAAAATTTTTTCGTTAATTAATAAAAATTAATTTGATGATCAATTGATTCAATCAATTAATTTAATTAAATTCGAATTATAAACACTCCAAAATAAGATAAAATATAACAATAGAGTTGTTTAATGTTTAGTTGTTCATAGATTTTTGGTTGTTCTCAAAGGTGAAAAATATTGGTAAGATTAACATGAGATTTAACTTGAATGATTCATTTGAATTCTCATAAGTTTGCAATTCGATCCCTGCACTTTTAAATTGACTGTTTTTTGTCAATAGTTATGTTTTATGTCAAATGGAAATGAATGCTCGGTATTTTTCTTGTTCATTGTTGATAACTCATTGGAAGGAAGGGTGGGTGAAATTTAGGTTGTATTATGCAATGTTTTCAACTACTCAAAAACATATGATCCATATGAACTTATGTATGGATTTGACTCTTTTTCAATAGCTTGTGATTTTCTTACACCAAAGAAAGTCCAATTTTTTATTCTCCACATGAATTACGTATGTAGTTGAGGCCATCATAACCAGTGCTTCCTCTTTCTTTTTGGAGAGTTATGAAATTCAAGTATGCTATGTTGGATTTTTAACTTCTCAAAATCCAAATGCATTTGATTATAGTAGTTTAAGCTAGCAATGCCATTTTGAAAAGTCATTGTAGTTTAACTTCGGCTTTCTCCTTGGATGTTCCTGTGCAGCCCTCTTCTGTCTTGGATACAACATTCTTTCTACTTCTGTTTCTGGATTCGGTAATAAGAGCATTTGGTCTAGTGGTATGATTCTCGCTTAGGGTGTGAGAGGTCCCGAGTTCAATTTTCGGAATGCCCCCATTTTTATGGTTTTCCCTTTGACTTTTATGGTAACCATTTATGCACAATAAGCAGAAGAGAAAATGCGAACAAACATCTCATGGCTATATTTTATGTCATCTCAGTTACACACGGTTAACATCCTAAAAAACAGTAAACTGCTTTGATATAAATAGCAGCTGCTTCAAATGAACTACAAGAATCAGTAACACAACCAAAACGATATAAAATTTAACTCGTACACATCAGTATTTTGCTACAACCAGAAGTTTTCCGTTATTAAGTATTCTATTTGTCATACCTTATTCTTTTCCTCTTCTCAGAAAATCTCAAGTGACAGTATATCGCGGAGGATTTTATCGCATTCTCAACCTATTCTGGTATGCTGATGATTGTTTTGATATAACTTGATCCTTTTGATTCCCTGAGCTCTCAGTACTGTTTGAGTTCAGAATTGATGAACCATCTGTTGGATTGCCACATAACTTTGCTTTTGAATCAACTCCAAGATAATTAGTCAAGACCCTCTTCACTCCAAAGCCACGGCGGTGAGGCTTGCTGTTGTTGTTGGTCGTGTTGTTGTTGTTGTTCTCCTTGAGAAATGGAGTTCTCTCTCCCTTTGCAGGGCTGATCAGTGGTGCAGGTGAAAAACTTGGTGTGGTGATTGCTGTTTTGTAGGGACTGCTCGAGGCAGGCACAGAATATGGGATTGAAACCTTTTTGTGTGCAATTACACTAACTGTAGGAACCGATGCCAACTTTTCTGAAAGCTTCGTTAAGTCATCTACATATAACAAATCATCAATGCGTGCCACAATGTTATATGCCAGGCTTTCCAGAACTCTTGAATAGCTTTCAAGAATGGACTTTCCGACATCCTGGAAGTTTAAAATAAGTTATAATTGAACAACAATTGGAGGGAGAATCAAGTAGCCTTTGGCAAAACTAGATATTTTCAGAAAAGGGATTCAAACCTTGTTGCACTGGATTTTGCTGGTATCCAAGGCAGTTTGAGTCAAACCAGGGAACCTTTGTTTCAAGCAAAGCAGGAGATTTTCGGCTCTTTCTGCTAGCAATTCTCTCTGGTCTCCATCAACCATTAGGTCTTTTACCATTTCCCATGATGACTTTGTAGTAGATTGGTTTGGATTGATTGGAGGCTTCGAGTGAAATTTCAAAAGATTAAAAGATACAAACTTTTCCCATGCTTTCTCAGCGGACAGCAACCAAGGAGGATTATACAGATTGAGAAAGTTACCTTTCAAATTTCACATGATTCTGAAATTTTTCTTCATTGTTTCCTTTTAATGCAACAAAAAATGATTCTGGACTACTTTAAAGACGACAATTACCTCAAGCTTACTTCCAGCTGGAAAATTTTGCCAAGAGGGTATCAATTCAACAATGTGGTCACTAACACTAACAAGCCACTCCATCTCTCTTTTCCACATGGATTTCTTCTCCTCATGTATAGGCTCTAATCTCCACAATTGCCCAAATATAGTAGCTACATATAGTATTTACAAATTTAATAAGTTCACAAAATAACAAAGTTAATTAAATTGGAACAAGAACCTTAAAAAATCCATAAATTCAAGAGAGAAAGAGAGAGAGAGATGAGCATGCCACAAGAGATTAGGAATGGCATTTGAAAATAGCCAAAGCTGTGCAAATACCCTTTTCCTGACCCTGAGCATGTCTTCACCAAGGTAGCAATTTGCAAAACCTCTCCTCCATCATGTCAATCTCTACTATAACATATTCAAAAAAGAAAAAAAGAAATAGAACTTTTTTGGCCAAAGAAACAAAATCCATGTGATTTATGAATGACAGGAGAAGCTACCACTGCCTAACCCTAACACAAACCATCAGAAGCCAAATACAACAATTTTAAACTTAAAAACAACATTACCTAACCATTAATCTTTGAACTTCAGTTTTTTTAAACTGTCATCTTCATTTACTATTCTTGTCTTCATCTCCATTGCCATCAGAAACATCTGAATTCTTTGGACACTGTAGCAGGAGTAGTAGTAGTAGTAGCAATAGCTCTCCTTATAGGCCAACCCAAAAGAGAAGGAGGTGAAGCTGAAGCAGACCCTGACCCTGACACTCTAGCCTTATTAACCTTAACTTTGTCAACCAAATTCCCTGAACTTGATCTACTGGAACTACTACTATTACTACCCTCTTTAGACTCACCACTATTACAACTACTCAACTCACTTGCAGACTCAGTCCAATCATCTTTCTTCTTCAACAAAGCCTCCATTTGTGGAAAAGGTACCAACTTAACCAACTACCCTTTTCCTTATCTCTGAAAAAACATACAAAAAAAAAAAAAAGGCTAAGCCTTTGGGTTACCAAAGAAGACATTTGCTGGGTGGGGTTAATAGATTTGATTTTTGAACTTTCAGAAGAAGAAGATATGGGCCCGTGCCATTGGGGTAACGTCTCTCTTTGAAAAACTGGTTTTGGATCGTTTGTTTTGATGGATTTGTCTTTTGTCTCTATTTTTAGCTTTCGCTCTTCGAGCTCTCCGAGTGGAGAATACGTTCAAAATATGATAAAATATTGGGAGGCCCGGTCAGTCGTCGGTATTTTTAGAGTGTGTCAATCCACGTGAACTTACGCTTTTACCCTTCTGCAGATAGTAGGAAATTTTTTCCATTTTTAGTGAGAAAATTAAGTTCACTAAAAGTTTAAATTTGGTTTACAAGAAATTAAAAGTATAGTCTATTTTGAATTTTTCTGAATATATAAAATTTAAAAGAAAAATGTTAAAAAAATATGTGATTAGGGTTCAATCAAGTGGAGTTTACAGGAAAATTAATTAAAATGTGTACTCAAATAATTGCTATTTTTTTCCTTACTTATGCATAAAAAAGATATTTACATTTTTTATTTTATTTGGTGACGTATAAAGTAATATATATTTTTTTATAAAAATGGTATTAATAATTGAAAATAATAATTTTTTTCTTTTTTAATTTTTAAAGAAAATAAAATTCGATAAAATCTTTTTTACTATTACTAATTAGTGATTTTATGAGAATCTATAGAAAAATATAAGCAACTATCAATAATTTGGAATGTTAGTAGCTACCATTTAAATTATAAGAATTAATTTTTTTTAAATTATTCCAAAATTGTAAATAAAATTATTTTCCAAACTTGAATAGTTAGTTCCATAATATTTGATTGAGGAAATTAATTTGTTGAACACGTAGCACCATTGTGCTGTTGGCGTTCCACGTGCTTAATTAATAAGTTATACCTAAATTAGAAAAAATGTTTGTTTTTTACTCCAACATTATTAAGTTAATAATTCATCTGTGAAAAAGAAAGCTTTATTAAAGAAAATAATGAAAAAAAAAAAGTGAAATTAATGTAAACCGATGTATTAGGTTATAGTTGAGTTATGACCTTTAAAAGATGTTAAATTAATTTTTGTTTGCTCCAATCCAGCCCATGTTATTAATGAGTGGGACTCACTTGTTCATTCTTTTTTTTTTTCAATCAATTTAGTCATTGAAAGTAGATTTTATAATTTAAAAAATGACATGAATATTATATAAAAATAAAACATAAAAATAATAAGGTTTAAAATTTTAATAATAATTATATATAAATTTAATAAAATTAAAAATATATATTTTATATTTTTTATCGACATAAATTATGATATATAATTTTTTTATAAAAAACAATATAAATATATAAATTTTATTATTTTATATGATATAAATACACAAATCATCAAATATAATTAAAAGAGATAAAAAAATTAATTTAGAGCAATTATCAAAATATGTCCAAATTAATAACCAAATAGTGAAACTTGTAGTTCAATCAAAGGTTTTGTTATATTTATTTTTGGAGTCACTTTCAATTAATCAATACACACATAGAATTAACTTTGTAAAAATTCTAGAATTATTATGTTACCAAAAAAAAACTCAATTAATAAATTTAATCTCAATTTGGAACGAAATGAAATTAGAAATGTTGAACAAAATAAGTCATAAGAATGATTCACACCATACAAAATGAAATTTCAATTTTGTTTAACTCATGAACCACTAAAAAATGAAAATTCAATTTTGTTTAACTCATGAACCACTAAAAATTCTAGAGGACTTTAACAAACAACTTACAATTAACCATACCACAAATATATAACTTAATAAGAAATTTTGTTCAGATTTAATTGCGTGACAAAATTTTTTTATTTAAATACATTTTAATTTTTAAAAATATTTATGTTTTTTTATATATTTTAGTTGATATAATTAATTAAATTTCTTAAGATTTTAGTTTAATAAAATGAAATGTAAAATAAATGATAAAATTAATACCTTAAAATTTTTATTTAATAACAAATATAAGTATGCGTGTGCCAAAGAGTTAGATTAGAATTTTTTTTATTCTACTTTTAACCTTATTCGTTTGTGTTTTTGTTCTTGACGGTGGGTAAATATTGGGTGACTCTCTTATTTAAAGTCACAAATGGGAAAATAAATGAGCTTATAAAAGAAGGAAGAAAATGATTAGAAATCAATGGCAATAATCACTAAAGATCACCACTGCAAAACACATATCATGGGATTCGAAAAATGATGTTGAGTTTGTGTGGTGCAACAAGCTAAAAAACTAATGAACATGTCATGATTCTTAAATACATAGGCTTAACACCAAATAAATCTTTGGAAATAAAATTTCCATCTTTTGTATATCAGATTAAAATTATAAAATTTTATTTATTATAATTATCCATTAAATCTTAAAAATTAATGAAAGATTTTTTATTGATAATTTTAAAATAATATATATTTTTTTGTATACTTGTCATCTAGCCCTTTCAAATCAATTTAAGTAAAAATTTTTTACAAATTAAATCATCCAACTAAAGAAATTTTATCAAAAAATTAAATATTTTTATGGTCAAAATTTTAATTGCTGTCATAACGGTTTTGGATCCATCCGACAAATTTGAAAACAAAAATAAAAGAACAAAAAATGAAGTCACTACTAATCTTTTTTTGTTAGATGTAATTGACTACCTATTAAAATTTATTCTTTTAATAAGATTTTAAAATTAATTAAAATTTATTAAAAAAATAATTTTACGATCTACGAAACAGTCTGGGTTCAGGAGTCGGTTACGTGTGGAGAAGGATTAACACCCCCACAGCGCCCATTTAAAATGGTATCAATTAATTACGTGTTATCTTTTGATTTTGATAAAAACAATCCCATTTTTGGTATTTGAAAAATAAATTTCTTGATTTTTTTTATTTATTAGAAATTGTTTTTTTTATTTATTTAAATTTATTCGAGAAAAATAAATTTTAGCCTTTTTATTGAAATAGTTCTTAAAATGTTTCAGTACGTTAGTAACATTAAAAGAACTCTTTCTCACATAAAAAATTTTTAGTCATCGCTTCTCGCAATACTTTAGAATTTCATCCTCGGATGCTCAAATTTATTTTTTAGTAAAAAAAAAAAAAAACTATGTCATGTATACAATGCAAATGATAATATATTAATGCACACATTTTATTTTTTATATAAAAATTTTATTAATTTTTATTAATATTTTCGTTAAAAAAATGAAGAAAAGATGAATTTTTATTATATTGAAGATTTTCTATAAATATTCTAAGACACTGGTAATATTTAAAAAATATATTCTCACTTAGAGATTTCTTAAAGCATTTTTACTTGGAATATTTTTAGAATCCCATCATTGGATATAATTTTTTTTTTTTCATATTTTTTTTATTAATTTTATTAAATTTATTTTTATTTTATTTTATTTTTTTAAAGTTTTATTTTAAAAATTAACAAAATTATAAAAAATTTAACTACATATTTCATCATTTAATCTAACAAATATAAATGTTTTATTATGCAAAATATTAATAAAATAATATATAAAAAATAAAAAATTTTGAACAAAATTTTTTTTACCTAAACCGGACCAATCATCGTTGGTCTGGTCCGACGGCTCGATTTGATCTGGGTGATTCAGCGATTCGATACGGTTTGGTTTGGTCTGGTCCGATTTATTCGGACTGATTAGGGTCAAATGGTGAGTTGGGTTGCAAGTCGGTTGCCCGGACCCCGGATCAGGTCAGCGGGTTGACGCGGAGATCTTTCAGCTCAAAACGACGTCGTTTTTTAAGTTTTATTGAAACGGCGTCGTTTTGGCTTTGACAGTTTTTATAAAAGCCAAAAAAAAATTTCTCACATTTTTTTCTTCTCCCCCTCTCTATTTACATTCTCAGAGCTTCTCTTTTTACCCGATCAGGTCGGTGACCATCGGTCGCGACGGTCGCTGTGATCCTTACCTGCGGCAAGCTTCGACCGCTGTCGCCAGTACCAAAAAATTTCAAAAAATACCCACGAACTCCTTTTGATCTCCTGAACACAGATCTAACCTCTTTTTTACCAAAAAGCAACTCAAACGGCCTAGATCTGCTTTTAAAGTCTCGATTAAAACCATTTTTTTCTTTTGATTCTCTTTTTTTTTTCTAAAACTGACTTTATTCTTTCTTTATGCAAAAACTCTCGACACTGAGTTTCTCGTTCTAGGGGGACTAAGTTATTTTTTTGTGTATTTTTTATGTTTTTCTAGCAAAAAGCTTTTTTTTTACAAGATATCCTTTTTTTTTGTTGCCTTATTTTGTATTCGGTCAGGAGCTCTATTTCTAGAGCTTCAACAATGCCCTATGCTTGAAGGAGTGGCACAAGGCTCGGCATGAGGGCTCAAGTATCACGGGTCAAGACTTAAGCTCCGAACCCGCACGGCTCAAGGACCCGAACATCCACTCATCATACGTCCCAAATCGACTTACCTGTCACGGTTCACACCCTTGTGAGGTATTGTCCGCTCTGGTTCCCCTGGCCTCATGATTTTGTCCTATAAAAAGCACCTCACAAAACAAAGGTGGTGTGAACTCTTATATACTCCAAAGACCCTCCTATTATGTTCGATGTGAGATTCAGGACTCTTCCTTAGGTCTGTGACATTCTCTCTCACCCAATCTCGTGACATCATCGTCACAGAGGCTGGCTACCCTACCTATCTCCCTCGAGGCGCTTGACGTGGATCGAACCATTTAAGGCTGACTCTAATATCACTTGTCACGGGTCAAGACTTAAGCTCCAAACCGGCATAGCTCCGTGACCTGGGCATCCACTCATCTGGTGTCTAGGATTAGCCTGACCGCCACGGTTCACACCTTGTGAGGTATTATTCGCTCTGACCCCCTTGACCTCACGATTTTGTCTTATAAAAGGCGTCTCAAAAAGCAGAGGTGGTGTGAACCTTTATATACCCCAGTGACCATCCTATTATGTTCGATGTGAGATTCAAGACTCTTCCTTAAGTCCGTAACACAAGCACAAGCCCCGTGTCTCTTTTATTATTTTTGTCTG